ATCTACTCCAGAAAATGTGTTCAAAATCGATATTTAAACCATTGGGCTTTAAAGCCCCCAGTTTAAATATCCATTGCATCTCCCGAATTGCCAGTTTTCTTGTATAGTGTCCTCCTCTTACATCCTTTTTCACTTGTTCAATTCCACAGAAGTACAGTTGACTTGGATCCATTCCATGTCTCAACTTTAAGTGTGTTGAGACGCTGTGTCCTTCAAATCCTCCCCTTATATTATATATATGTTCGTATAATTTGTTCTTTAACGGTCTCTCAGTTCGTCCAATATATTGCAATCCACATGTACAATATATTAGATATATTACCCCTTTGGTGTTACAGGTGATAATATTTTTTATTTTGAACTCTTCTCCTGTGTGGTATGATTTGAAATCTCTCCTCAACCCCTGTTTTTTGGCGTTCCCCGAGGTTCTGTCCTTGGTCCCCTACTGTTCTCTATCTATATTGCCTCCCTTGGTAAACTCATCAGCTCCTTTGGCTTCCATTAAAATTTATATGCAGTTGACACATAAATCTACCTGTCCTCTCCTGATATCTCCCCGCCCATCTTGACTGGTGTCTCTGACTGCCTCTCTGCGATTTCCAACTGGATGACTGCTCACTTCCTTAAACTCAACATGTCCAAAACAGAACTTCTGGTCTTTCCTCCCTCCAGTATTACTATTCTGTCTCCCTCCAAGTCAACAGCGCCACCATCAACTCTACCTCGCAGGCTTGCTGCCTAGGTGTTCTTATTGACTCTGACCTCTCCTTCACCCCTCATGTCCAGTTGATCACCAAATCCTGCTGTTTCCATCTCTAAAACATAGCTCGCATCCACCCGTATTTAACACTAGACACAGCTAAGGTGCTGGTCCATGCCGTTGTTTTTTCTCACCTTGACTACTGCAATCCCCTTCTCAGTGGTCTTACATGTTCCCAGATTGAACCTCTGCAAACTATAATGAATTTGGCGGTGAGGCTAATTTTCCTGTCCTCCCACGCCTCCCCCTCTGTCAGTACCTACATTGGCTTCCAGTTAGATATAGGTCTCAATTTAAGATTATGGTGCTTGCTTACAAGTCCCTAGATAATGCTGCTCCAACCTATCTATCTTTCCTAATACACAAATATGATCTGTCAAGGCCCCTGCGCTCTGCCAAAGACCTACGCTGTGAGGATATTTATTGGGTGATAAATATTAAAAATTATATTTTCATAAAAATGATCAAAAATTAATCTAATAATTTTTAATATATAAAAAATGTATATATTGGCACTGCCTCCCCGATTATATTAATTTAAAGCTGAGAATTACCCACTATTTTAATTCTTAGATCCTGGAGTACGTTTTATTAGAGGATTTGTATTTCACACATTAATCACAAATTAATTATAAAAATATAATTTATTGTGACAATAATAAAAATAATAATAATATGTAACGTGTGATAATCAGTGAATATTTAGGTATAACTTAAGTATACAATATGGCAGTGATTTAACACAATTTATAGATAGTTTAATCTAGCAACATTATATCGACATGTATGCATTATATCAACAAGACTTACAACAGGACACTTCACTTTGAAATAAACTTAACACAGAACACAGCATCTCACAGCAGCACAGCGTAAAGCAGGGGTCCTCAGACTTTTCAAACAGGGGGCCAGTTCACTGTCCCTCGGACACGGTTGGGGGCCGGACTAAGGTTTGAATTTTTTTTTTTTTACAAATTCCTATACACACTGAAACAGACACATAGACATATACAGACATACATACAGACTCACACAAGCATAAGGACATACATACATACACACACACAAAACACATACATACAGATACATACACACACATATATACATATTGACATACATACTGAAATACATACACATACATACATACTGACATACACACATACAGATAGACATATATACATACAGACACATACAGATAGATACATACATACTGACATACATACATACTGAAATACATACATACATACATACATACAGACACATACTAACATACATACAGATACATACATTCTGAAATACAGACACACAGACATACATACTGAAATACATACACATACATACACACAGGCATACATACTGAAATACATACATCCATAGACACACATATACACATACTGACATACATACACACACACACATAGACTGACATGCTGACATACATACATACATGCACATTTTTTTGCAGGAGGATGGCTGTGGCTGATGTGAGTCGGCATGGCTCTTCCCTCCAAGCGGCCTGGCTGTGCCTTTATTCCCTCCCGCGCGGAGGGAGCTGGGAGGAAGTGATGGCCACTTCCTCCCAGCACTACTTTGTGCCTGTAATTTTTTTAAAGGGGCCCAGTCGCGCTATTGCACGGTCACAGCGCTGACTGGGCCCCTGAAGAATATATTTGGCCCATCGGGTGGCCCTAAGTGCTGGGGCCGGGTTCAGGACCCTGGAAGGCCGGATCCAGCCCACGGGCCGTAGTTTAAGGACCCCTGGCGTAAAGCAATAAAACTTGGTCGGACAGTCAAATCACACTGAATTAACTCATTCACTGCTGGCTACAATTCTTATAGGCAAGATATCCTTTTATATTGCAATTTTACAAATACAATAGTTCTCATACTAGATAATTTGACCATTCCTATGTCCATCCAATAAGAATAATTCTAATCAGGTCTTACATTTGCAAAATTTTAACTTTCCTAATTAAGATTCATTATTTCTAATTTACGTAAGCAAATATATCTGGATAATTACCTGGTATTCTATTTTTAAAGTTAAAAGTAATATATAGTTTATTCGTCCACCTGCAGGAATGGAATCACGAATTCTATATATTATTAGCAAATCATGACTCCTTAATGTTGGAATCACCAACTTTTATCCAAGTATATTCTGCCTTTTAGTAAAATCAATTAATTTAATAAAAAACAGTATAATTACCAGCTCTTGGTAGAAATTCTATCAGACTTGAAGATATGTCCCAGGAATTCTGAAGTTTAAAGAATTTCAAAGGTGTGTTAGTTGGAAAAAATACAAAGAATTAGGTATATCTAGCTTTGGCTCCAGATGTCAGAGTTTAGATGTTAGGTGTGAGTCCATCTTCAGAGTGTGAGTGTATGAGTGTCTCTCTCTCCTTTGTCCTTAATTTTTAAAGGAGAAGTTCTCTATACGTCACTAGTTGATAATGACCAATAGAGTAAGGTGGGTGTGTGTTCCCTACAGACTATCATCTAGATTTTGGTCAGTAGATGGCGCAATTACATCATAGAAAATTCTTGTCAGGGGGTCCATTTACCTTTTTGTATAATGGGTTAACTGAATTTCGTAATGCGTTTGACGTCATCTTGGTTAGCTTTATGATTACCTATTTGTTAAAGACCTATTTATTTTCAAAGACTTTTGGTTCATTTTTACCAGACAGAGCGTCTGGTGTGGTGCCTTTAAATTAGATTTCTGACACGTCCTAAACTCTTTTTCACCTCTCTATACAATGGAACTTTGTAAGATTCCGTTAGTTTAAAAAAGTTAAATTAATTACTTAGTGTTATCTGTCATTCTGTGTCTGGTTTTCTTGTGTGAAGCTACATAGTTGTATACATGTCTATTACACATTCAGTTATATACATGTCTATTACACATTCAACTATATTATTTTAATAATATGACATTTCTTCATTGATATTCTATCCATGAATATTCTATATTATAAACATAGTACTATTTATATATGATTAATATAATTATAGTTAGTTATATGTGGATAGTGTGTATATATATATTTATATATATATATATATTTGTCTCTGCGTTCAACCCCCCTTGCTGCAGACATCATGTCTTATTTCTGCCAATACATTAGTTGCATTCCTTAGCTCAGGCTTGAATGAATAGAGTTACAGAAAAGTAAAAATGTGTGTCTTTGCATTCTGTTACAAAATGGAATCACTTCTGTTCTGATGGTGACTTACAGTATACACTTTTAATTTCTGTCTTAACACAAAAAATGTCTGCCAATACAACGCCTATCCTCTGTCCATACTCCCACATCTGATGCTCGCCTCCAAGTTTTCTCTAGCGCTGCACCTTTTCTGTGGAACTCCCTTCCCTTCTCCATCTTAGACTTTAAAAGTTAGACTTTCACCCAGTCTCCACTCCTTCAAAAAATCGTTGAAAACACACTTCTTCAGGAAAGCATATTGTGACGAGACCAATCTCGCCACATTGCATTGGAGAAGCCTGGTTGCTCGCCTGCTGCCTTTGGACTATGGCCCCCTTTTAAAAGACATCTTTTTTACCTGCAGAAAAGCTTCATTCGTGCTTTTCTGCCTGGGGTTCGGTAGAGTTGTTTGAATGTGTTATACCCCAGATAGGAATCCCATGGAGCCCATTCATATGAAACTGACTGTAAAGACTTTGGCTCCATGGGGATTAAACTGTATTCGTGTGGTCTGAGCGCCATTCGCTTAATAATGTGCGCTCGGACCTGAGCTATCTGGGGATATGTCACATGTCTGTGTTTTATGTGATAAATGTGACTTTATGTATTTTAAAGTGTTTTGTGTCTTTTTGCAACCATGTGCTTAATGGAGTCTTGTGTCTGTCCTGGGAGATAATTGAATTACTCTCCAGGATAGAAGACTCTGAAACTGGTTAGGACTTTTTACTAACTTTTGAACCCCTGGTCTGATTCATGCCATTTTTTAATATGTTGTTCCCCTGAATGGATTGATTGTGAATATGTAATTTTATGTGAATGTGATGTATGATTTTAGAGTTATGAAAGTTGGGTAGAAAGTATGTTTTAACTGTATGTGTAATTGAGTTTCCTCTCAGGATAAGGGGAGGGAATGTGTGGGATGTAACTGTGATGTGATTGGTTGTTTTATACCTCCCTGTGGGCGGTCCTGTATTTGAAAACACTGTAATAAAAACTAGGCTGGGTGTGCCAGCACCTCAGACCACTGCTTGACCCTCAACACGGAGCCTTGTCTAGTTTTTGGGGGGATTCACTGTATGCTGTTAGAGACGGATTGCCAGGAGTGTAAGCTGATTGTCTGCTTTTCCTGTTCGTCTGCTAGCAGCTATTTGGGAGGTTCCAGTTCGGGAGTTGGAGTGCTATTTTGTATCCAGTCCGGGAGTTTGGTGTTCTGCAGTAGCTGTGCCTGTATCTCTGGAAAGGGGGCCGATCGCCTAAACGGTTTTTACCCCTTGTGTGCAAAACGGTCCGTTACACATATCATTTAAACACCCCTTCCTCCCCTCCCCTCCCGTGGCAGAACCACTGGCTGTTCGTGGACTTTCCCTCTCTTTCACATGTATTTTCCCTGTATTATTTATTTGTTATGCCTGCTCATCCAGTGCCTGGGGGTGGATAGAGTGAGTTCCCCATTCGGTTCCAGGACCCCAGTCAAGCCATGGCGACTGGGCAGAGGTTCTGCGGTTTGTCAAATAAGGACAAAGATTTCTGAGGGACACTTCAGATTTTGAGTCTGGATGAGTATACCGCTCATTCAAAAAGAGAGTGAGGGTAGACCTGGACCATTTTAGCACCCCAGAGTACAATTCCACTGACACGGAAGGAGAAACCACACTGAATACATCCACTAACACAACCAATGTGAACACTAACCCAACACCAATTGGCATTTTGAAGAAGGGGGTTGATTTTTTTAGGCCTCAAACAGGCAGACGAATTCCAGGGTCTGAAGAGACAATCACAAAGGAGCAGGGGCCAACGGAAACACTGCTACTAAATACCAAAACCCTTCAAGTTGTTAATCTATCCTCATTTACCCTGACAAACATACAGATACCGACTTTCACGAAAGGTTTATCATTTGTCCTGATACCACAATTTAACAAATTTATTTGGACAAAGGATTTACATCTCTTTGCCCGAAAATTGGCTCTCCATAAGTACCACTCTATAAGAAAGGAACAGAAAGCTCAAAGCCTAGGTCTTAGTGTTAATGATCTAGATTGTCTAGATACATTAGTGGAACTTCTAAACCTTGGTGAGGGATTAGAACCAAATACTAACCTTAGACCTAAAAGCAAATTTACCCCACAAATTAAGGAATATAAGAACACTTTTTTATTTTTAGAGATTTTTTTTTAGAGATGATCTGCAGGGACATTACATCTATGGATGAAAGGGTTCTTGAATATAGATCTAATTGTAACCTCACCAAAAGAGAAAGCTTAGCACTTAATGAGCTAAACTCAAACACCAACATTATCATTAAACCATCTGACAAAGGTGGTAATATTGTGGTCATGAATCATTCGGATTATATCCAAATGGTAAACCTTATTCTTAATGATAAAGATACTTATCGGATCCTACCAGGGGACCCCACGGCTCAATATTTCACTAACATTAAGGCTCTCTTATCTCTTGCCTTGGATAGTAAATTCATAACAAAAGAGGAATTTGACTTCATGCTCATCAGATCACCAGTACTGTCCACCTTCTATAGCCTGCCTAAGGTGCATAAGTCCTTGACAAATCCACCTGGCAGGCCTATTGTATCAGGAAGGGATAATCTAACCCAGAATGCAAACATTTTTCTTGATAAAATCTTGTCACCCATTGTATCCAATTTACCATCATACATCAGAGATACAAAATTAATGTTACACTGGTTAAAGAACATAAGGGTACCAGATGAAGCCATGTTATGTAGCCTGGACGTAGAGGCATTATATAGCTCCATCCCCCATAAATTGGGGATTAAGAGCGTTAGATCCACTCTTCAGAAAACACTTAATGCCCCACCAGCATACATAGACTTTATCTCTGATATCCTTAAATTCATCTTGACCAAGAATGTCTTTTTATTTAATGGTAAAGTATACCAACAAGTTAGGGGGACAGCCATGGAGACTTCAAGCGCACCCTCCTATGCCAACATATACTTGGGCACTTGGGAGACATACATTGAAACGGACAAGACTTTATCGATCTATCGTGATAAAATGTATTTTTGGAAAAGGTACATCGATGATGTCTTTGTTATTTGGCTGGGATCTTCTGATGAGTTCATGACATTTGTAACTCTCTGAAACACTAATTAATTCAACTTAAAATTCACAAAAGAAGTGGGGGGCAGGAATCTTAACTTCGGACCTTACTGTTTCCATACAAACAAGTGGATAAATTTCAACCACCCTGTACCGAAAACAAACAGCCTCTAATGGCCTTCTGAATTGGACTAGCCACCACCCACCAAAGGCCAGAATCCCTGCGCTTACGTAGAAATTGCTCTTCCCTGGATGACTTTAAAATCAAGGCCTGGGATCTCCAGAAATCCTTTAGGGAAAAAGGTTACCCTAATTGGGTTCTAAAAAGGGCTTATGCCAGAGAAATATATAGCATGAAGTTATTTTTTTGGGGAGGGGGTGACAAGGAGTTTGGGGGTGGTTACATTTTTATTTAGCGCCCCTACCCGCCACTCAGGGGTGGGGGCCAGAGGAGGAAAATAGGTCCCCCCTTATTCTAACTTAGGGCCCCCACCCGCTGCTCATGGGTGGGGGACGGGGGGAGGACAATAGGTCCCCCCCATTAGTTTACTTTAGGGCCCCCACCCGCCGGTCAGGGGTGGGGCAGGGGGGAAATTATTTATTTTTTTAACAACGAGCAGCCACAGACTGCTCACTGTTTAATAGACATCCCCCTAGTCGCGGTATAGCGAGTAGGGGCAACATTTAATAATACTAAGTCATTTTTACTTAGTATTAGTAAATGTGTCTGAAAGACCAAGTTAGCTCTTTTAGCCTTTTGGTAGATGACTCCCTAATACCGTGGGAATTAGGGAGTTATCTACTAAGCGGCTGCAAGATAAGTCCAGAAGTGCTGAAGTGCCGAAGGTCCCCCCCCTTATTAGTATTTAGGGCCCCCACCCGCCGCTCAGGGGTGGGAGCTGGGGCGGAGGACAATAGGTCCCCCCCTTATTCTAATTTAGGGACCCCACATGCCTGTCGGGGGGGGAGACAATAGGTCCCCCCCTTATTTTACTTTGGGCCCCCACCCGCCACTCAGGGGTGGGGGCCTGGTGGAAGGACAAGAGGGCTCCCCTATTTTAATTTAGGGCCCCCACCCACCACTCAGGGGTGGGGGTCAGGGGGGAGGACAATAGGTCTTTATTCTTCTTTTGGGCCCCCACCCGTCGTTCGGGGCGGGCCTTTTTTTTTTTTTATCAGTTCACTGTTTAATAGACATGCCCCTACTCGCGGTATAGCGAGTAGGGGCATAATTTACTAATACTACGTAATCTTTACTTAGTAACAGTAAATTTGGCTGAAATGCCAATTTAGGTCTTTCAACCTTTTAGTAGGTAGCTCCATAATACCGTGGGAATTAGTAAGTTATCTAACTTACATTTTATATGAATGTATGCAGTGCCCCTCTCCCTCCCCCCCGTCATCCATGTATGATGTAATGTTTGTGTTGTCTGTGTATGTGATAGTAGGTGTGATGACTGTGTGTGATATGTATGCTATGTGTTGGCTGTGTGTGATATTTGTAATGGATGTATTAACAGTGTGTGATATGTGTGTATAGGTTGTATGTGATATTTGTGCTGGGTTTATTGGCTGTGTGTGATGGTTATTTAATTCAGATAAAAACATGCATTTAAGCCTGTGTGTGAATGCGGGTGTATATTTTTGCAGAGTTATGTGCACACAGTCAGATGCCCACAGTTATACATATACACTGTCAAATCCACCACATGCACACAGTCGCAGGCAGATAGTCACATACACAGGATCAGGCAGAAACACACAGGTACAGGCAGTAACAAACATACACAGTTACAGGTAGATAAACACACTCACACACAATTACAGGCAGACAGCCACACACACACACACACACACACAGGCAGCCACACACACACAGGCAGCCACACACACACACACACACACACACACACAGGCAGCCACACATACAGTTTTACACACATGCACACACACACATGCAGACAGCCACACACACAGGCAGAAAGCCACACACACAGAGACAGCCACACGCATACACACAGGCAGACAGACAGACACACACACACACACAGAGTCAGACAGCCACACACACACAGAGTCAGACGGCCATACACACACAGGAAGACATCCACACACAGAGGCAGGCAGCCAAACAAACACACACAGGCAGACAGTCACGCACACAGGCAGACAGTCATGCACACACACACACACAGACACAGGCAGACAGTCATACACACACAGACACAGGCAGACAGTCATACACACACAGGCACACAGTCATACACACACACACACACACAGGAAGACAGTCATACACACACACACACACAGGCAGTCATACACACAGGCAGTCACACACAGACACACACACACACACACACAGGCAGTCATACACACAGACACACACACACAGACAGTCATACACACGCAGGCAGACAGTCATACACACAGACACACACACACACGGGCAGGCAGTCATACGCAGACATACACACACACACACACACACACACACACGGGCAGACAGTCATACGCACAGACACACACACGGGCAGACAGTCATACACACAGACATACACACAGGCAGACAGTCATACACACATACACACACACGCACACAGGAAGACAACAGTCATACACACACGGGCAGTCATACACACAGACACACACACATCCAGGCAGTCATACACACAGACACACACACACAGGCAGCCATACACACAGGCAGACAGTCATACACACACACAGGCACACAGTCATACACACAGACACACACACACAGGCAGGCAGTCATACACACAGACATACACACACAGAGGCAGACAGTCATACACACAGACACACACACACATGCAGTCATACACACACAGGCAGAGAGTCATACACACAGAGACACACACACACACGGGTAGGCAGTCACAGCACACACAGACACACACACACACACAGGCAGCCATACACACAGGCACACACAGGCAGACAGTCATATACACACACACACAGGCACACAGTCATACACACAGACACACACACAGGCAGGCAGTCATACACACAGACATACACACACAGGCAGACAGTCATACAGACAGACACACACACAGGCAGTCATACACACACAGGCAGACAGTCATACACACAAACACACACACAGGCAGGCAGTCATACACACACACACA